AGAGAGAGAGAGAGAGAGAGAGAGAGAGAGAGAGAGAGAGAGAGAGAGAGAGAGAGAGAGAGAGAGAGAGAGAGAGAGAGAGAGCACCATTGGAGCAGACCATTCTTAGAATGACACAAGAGGTCAGTCAGTATTCAGGCTGTTGGGGATTTAAAGAGTGCCCACGGGCTATGGTAAGGGGCCACCCCTACAGACCGGACAGCACTGGTTCGGGTGTGGACTGTGGAAGCATCGCATCCAAGTCTCGCAGTTGCTGTAGCGAATGGCATGGCGTAGGCAGATGTCACAGGCCATGTGGCTCCCACGTGGCTCCCACATGCGAGGAACACAGAGGCGCACCGACCGCAATTGGAGAGGCATATTGCCCTTCTGGCCCGTCTACAAATTGGACAAGACATGTCAGGGTGCCGTACGTCAGTGCAATATTGACTGTCATCATACATATGAAAACAAAAACTCACATGAGCTGTGCCTTCATAATCCTCACGACAAAATGCATGCAACCCACACACTAACTGAATCTCAGGTGGATAATCACAGAGCGGCATTCCGCAGGCGTCTTGGGTTCCCTCATTATTGAATCCTTCTCTATGGGCAGATGACAACGGCGGCCGTGGTGGGAGGGGGTCAGCCAAAGCAAGAGCATCGAACTGCTGCAGGATTTGGTTCACAACAGTCTGCCCTGGTGGTGTGAGCCCTACCGTACCGTGCACTGTATGCGGTTGAGATGGGGCTCTATTTTCCTCCTCAGGCTGCTGAGTTTGTTGTTCGTTGGGCAAGGAAGAGGGAAGTCAGACTGGAGTTGCAGTAGGTATGTGCCCAAATCAGCATATGGGACATGCTAAAAGAGGATGTAGCGGATGATGGCAGAGGGAATAGTCCGCACAGTAGAGTCACAAACTTCTGATAACAGCTTCCTGGAAACATTGACGACAGATGGCATGCTGCTGACATGGAAGTAGGAACGCAGGCCAACGTGCGCAGCTATTTAATATGACAATTCAAGGCCACGGCAGCATATTGGGCAAGCAATTAGGGGGTGGGGGGGATGAATACAAGACAAAGAGTTGCAGTTTCCGCGGCAGAGGATGATCCCTTCATAGTGCAGTGTGCATGCTAACTGAACTGAAGCTGTGTGACGACACAATGGGAGGGCACAGCCACCATCCTCAGGAGAGGTCCGTTCATTGCCCAGAGGAGAATCTGTTTGGTCTACACGGGAAGGGACACAGCTTGGCCATGTGCAGGTGAAGTGGGTGGGTATTCAGCCGGGTTGCTCTCCAGAGGCTGCTGCGCTTGCAATTTCAAAGGAACGTACATACTGTTCCTTACGGCAAATCCGGATGGAGTGAGAATCTGCTGCTTGGTTGTAGAAAGAGATAATACTTTCTACAGTGTGCACCTTACTGCCATTGTCCCATAGGGCCATGAATTATCTGCAAAGGTGACAGCACTGAAATGACCTGGACGATGCAGGATGTATGCGCGGATGTGCGGCAAGTGTTTCAGTTAGCCCATCGCACACTCAAGGCCAGCGAACGAAGTGGGCGCTCGAACTCCGAAACTGCTTGCTGGAGGCAGCACCCGCATTTGTACTCGAGCAGACGCTTCGCGTCTGATCTATCGCCAGAGTGGAGCCAAAGGGGAAGCAGGCTGCAATTGTAGTCTTCTTCCCGTGAATGCCATAGACAGGACTCCGATGTTCACTCCAGGCGCAGTACTGTCATCTTCCCAGCAGACAGCGCGGTGCTCTTCTTCTATCCAGCGGACTATATCGGCAAAATCAGAAACGTATAAGGGTTGCAATTATAAGCGAGGAGACACATTAATAGCACAGTAGCCTCAGTGTAGTACGATGAGATCATCTGATTCTGTTGGTGCAGCAGCGGGCAGTTCATTCAATTCTGTGGATTGCACAGTAGGTGGAGGTTCATTGTAGTCTTGACAGTGTTTGTCAGCTTCCTCCGGTTGTATGAACTGCATTAGCTCTAGCATATGCTCCCGAGAGAAATCCTCTACAATTGGGGGCTCCATCAAATGATCAGGGGGCAAGTCACTGTCAATTGGGGCAGGGGAGCATGCAGGGC